TAATGCTTTAAGAAAGCATTAGCAAGATCTGCCCATGTTCGAATGTGCACTCGCTCCAACTGTATATACCAATCTAGAGATGCCCCACTTAAGTTGTCTTGAAAACAGTGAACCATCAACTTTAGATCGTGGGCATGGGCATGCATCTTCCTGCAATACATGCGTAAATTATTTCTTGGACAAGTGAGCCCTTTGTATTTTCCAAAGTAAGGAACTTTGAACTTCGGCAGAATTACGACATCAGGCACTAGGCCCATTTCGAGAGCATCTACTTCAAAGGCATCAAATCCCTCCACAGCTTTCAACATTTCTTCCAGAGCCTTATATTAATTCATCACCAGTGGATTATCAACAACATGAGTACCAGTCATCTTCAAGGGTGCCTGCTTAACATCCTCTAGGCCGTGGTCTCCATACTGCAGGTCCAAGTAGTTATCTGCATTGTTGATTGGAATTTGCAGGGTATGTGATGCCCCTTCTTTTGATGGTGGTGGGACAAACCCTTCAGTTTCATCTTCTCTTGTCTCTTGTTGGGCCATGATGGATTTTGGGTCCTATTTCTGGCTCTTTTCTTAGTTGGTGACCGCTCGATGCACCGATCATTTTAGCTACTTCTTCGAAAGCTACCCTGGGAATCTGATTTTGTCTGTCAATGATATTATTTAGAGCTATGAGAACTTGACTCAGATCTCCTTTCATTGAACTCACATCACCCTTTACTTGGTCGAGATCTTCCTTGAATGCAACCTGATTCTCCTTGATTTGTTCCATTGCTTTTTGTTGATAGGCCCTTGTTTGATATGGAGGCCAAGGAGGTGGAGATCTTCTTCAACCAATGGTTTAACTGGAGAGATTTTGAAAAATCAAAATGAGCTTTGATATGATATGCAGGTGTTTGCGAATGCATGCATGCGTATGATTATGTATGAACATGTATTCGTTTCTTGTTTTAAATGTCTTATTCACTTGGGTATTTATCTTTTGCTTCTTTTATCTTTTTTTTATTTGGTGAATATTTAAAAATAGATATGCAAACGAGATACGGAAATAAAATGCCTTTATTGAAAGTAACATAATCTAGATATTGAAAAATATTACAACTTTAAATCAAAACTTGTTTTCATAAACATAAAAAAAGGAAATAAATCTTCTAGGTGCGCTTGCGGATGTCTGGTCTGAAACCATCCACCATTGCTCAGAAAATATTGAGAAAATCTTCAATTTCCTTTGGAAGAGGAACCATTACATTTTCTGCATCTCTCAAACTTCTAGGGATATCCTCAATGAGGTTGTTGGCTAGGAAGGCGAGTCTTTCATGCTTGTCTTTGTAATACCGACACTCTTGATAAAGATGTGGGATTATCTTATGGTTATCTCTCCCGACTTGGGCAACCTTTGTATATTGCTCTTCCCAATACATCTTTTCAGTCCTCAACTCTGTATAAAGTCTCCGTTGGATAAGGAAATCTTTTTGGAGACCTTATAGCTCTAGGCACACATGCTCATATTCTTCAGTTCTCTGAGTCAGGAGTCTTTCTACCTCTATCCTTTCAAGGAGTTCTTTGACCTATGATTCTTGGTTGTCTTGAAGGCTGGTGGTGAGGTATTTTATTTTCTCTTCTTGATCTAAGGAAGCTTGCGCCAAACTTTGGATCTGGACTCTTAGATTTTCCTCTAGCACCTTCTTGTCATGTGTTTCCTTTTCATACCATCTATTAACCTCCCGATTCAGTAGCAGCATCTTCTAACCTTTGGTTGTGGGAATCTAGATTGGAAGTCGCCCTCAGAAGTCCTTCAGTTGTACGCTTCCGTTTGAGACTCTCCTTTTCCAACTCCTTTTGATCTCTCTCAATTTGTTGGTCCTTTAACTCAAGTATGAGTTGCATCTGCTTCTTTTCCGTGGTTAGATTGAGGAGGTTGAGTTCTAATTCTTCTTTTTCCCTCTGAGCTTGCTTTAGGGCACTCTTCAGATCATCAATTTCTTCTAAGGATATAGGCGCGACCTCTGGGACCTCTGACTTGTACTCTGGATCTATATCAAATGGTAGCTTGATAATTTGTACCCTATCTCGAACCCATCTAGTGTAGGGTTCTCTTGCTATGGCATTCTTCCTTTCAACTCTCCTCTTATTAACCTTATTCCAAGCCCAAATAACCTTGTTGAGCAACCCTTGGTCCTTTATACCCATGTCATGGATGATCAATGGTTGGAGTTTTTCGTCCAAAGGTCTGTCTTCAAAAGGATACCCTAACTTTCGTAGGGCCAAAGTTGGGTTGTAGTTAATACAACCTCGAGATCCAATCAACGGAACATTAGGAAATTCCCCACAGCTAACAGTGATGTTACCAATATCCAGCTTCCTTGCATACCATAATACCGAGTTTGTAGTGAGAGACCTTAATTTCTGAGGCCACTCGCGTTTGGTCAAGTTTGGAATCATATAGTCTTCTTTATATAGATGGGTCATGAACCAGGTATACAAAAGTGGAATACAACAATTTAAAGTGCCTTTTCTCTTTTCGTACATTGTGTGTAAGGTGTAATAAATGTCAACAAGTAGAGCGGGAGTTGGATACGTATTAAAAACTTTCTCACCCCAAAATATGCTAATGGCCGTAGGGTCAATATAGTCCACAGTCCAAGGGAATAAAATTACACCAAACACAAGGAATCCTAAACAATCGACACAGGGCTCCCATTCTTTATAATTAGCAAATTTGAGTGCCTTGTCTTCTAGGTATACTATTTTGATTCCTTGTATCGGGCCTTCTCTTTGATAATTTTGAACTAACACGGAATATGGGATCCCTAATCCCTTTGCCAAGACTTTGACTTCAATAGTTTGTCTGATACCCGCATAGGCCTTCTCTTTAGAAAAGTTCAGAATTCTATCAAATTCTTCTAGAGCCGGCGCTAGCTGGAAGTCTTGGAAGGTGAAACATCTCAGTGGAGGGTCATAGAACTTAACAAGGGCATAAACAACGTCTATTTGAACCTCTACTCTGGTCAAGTCAAGGGTATCCCCATAGCAGCGAGTGTACATCTTAAGAGCTCTTTCGGATAATTTCCCCTTTATAGCTTTGATTTCATAAATGTCTGGCTTGAGAGCATTGATGCAGACAAGTTGTTTCCCTTTGGTATCCATTTTCAAAGATAATCACTAAAATCTTGATTTTATTTATTTTTTTTACCCTGTGAATAAGAAAAATAAAAAGAAATAGATGATGAATATATGAAATATATGAATGCACAGATGTATAGTTTAGTGATGAGATTTTGTGATAGGTACCTGAAACAACTGGCTGAAAATCATCAAACAATGAAGTCGCCATCGAACGTCTTTTATCCCACATGAAGGGAAAGGTAAACATCGAGAAAAACCTGAGAAGGGAGAAGTCACGGTCTTGCGACCGAGATATAGGGTAAGGGAGTCTGTTACGCGAGGGGAAGGTATTAGCACCCCATGCGCCCGTAGTACTCTACGGTATCCACTCTTGTTACCTATCTTATGGGTGTGTTTAATCTATACTTACTGTTTTACTATACTACTGAAGGGAGGAATGCATGCAAAAGAAAAGAGAAAAGGATGTAGGGAAAATAAAATTTGTGCTCGTTCGGGCCCTACCCCAATGCCTACGTATCCCTTTTAAGGAATCAGAGAAGTCGTAGTTCGGCTCACATGTTTTTGTTAGTTTGTATTTTTTAATGAACAATATTAATTTCGCCTTCTGCCACAACTCGACCTTTGGAGACTTACGCGTCAACACAGAAGTAAATTAACATGCTCTTTTGAAAAAGAGTTTGAAAGAAAAACCCAAAGGCAAAAGGAGTTTGTGTTTCCTGGTGTTTTTGCTTGTGGATAACAGCTAGTTAATCTCAAGAGAGAGATATTATCCATTTTTCTACTTATTCATGAAATAAGTCATTGAGACTTGAACCATACCAAAGCTTGGAATAATAGAACAATAAGGTCGAGAAGAAACCCGCTTATCATCTCTCATACTTAACAAAGATATGATTCTCGTCAGTAAATTTTTAGTATTTTGAAGTTTGTAAGAAAAAGAAGTTTTTTAATGCAAATGCAAAAGGGAAAGAAAAGTCAAAGGGAGACTATCATATTTCTAAACCTAATGTTATTATGCATCATTGGACATCAAGTTGGAATTTCGAAGGAATTCTACCTAATGTTTGCATGCTTGGATTTAAAAGCCTAATGTCTAATTTTAGTTCAATTAAATCGAAGATTAAATTTGAACCAAAATCTCCTAAGAAAACATGAAAGAATATACAAACAAGTAAAATTAGGCAGCAAGTATCAAAGTATTTCATAAAATCCATACCAAAAATCGCAAACGAAATACATTATATAAAATGAGTAAAACTAGTGATTAAAATTGACTAAGAAGTTAGCAAAAGGGGAAATAAATCCCTAATTAATTTCTAAAATGACTTCTAATATTTTTACCATTTTTGTTATGTATTTTTTGTAATTAAAAAAAATCATGAAAGAAAGAATTAAAAATAATTATAAAAAATAAAATAAGAGAATCAGGGGGTGCTAAGCTATTTACAGGGGATTATGCAGTCTGGGCGCTAGGCCTATCAGCGTGAGGTCCATGAAATTGTTTTTTTTTTGTACCAATGCTACCAGGCTGCAAAACAAAAGGTGGTGAAATAGGCCTGGGGGTGTGCGTATGCAGTATGCCATATTCATCTATCAGTTCATTAACCATCCTTATTCATATTTTATCGAGTAAAAAAAAGAAAACATAAAACTCATAGTTTTGGAGAAGTCGCTTCAGCTTCCAACCACTCTATAACCATTCCCTCTCTTCACCGGAGTGATTCTCGACAATGAAGCACCGTCGTCTACCACTCCCTAAACCACCTATTAACATCATGGAAGCTTCATTTCACCCTGGTCTTCCCAAACCTCCGCTTCATTTTCATTAATCTCTCACCATTTCTCCTAAATCTAAAGGAATTCGTGAACCCTAGAATGGTGAACAACACGATCCCAAACAACCTTGTTTCAATAAAATTTCAACACCACCTTATCCTAATCCAATGCACTGAACCTAAATATAGTTCTAATTCCTTGAGAGAATCCATCTATATGACTAGATCTAAGGATAATCACAATGGAAACCTAATTTCGAAAGTTTGGTTAAACAGAATTTAGACACAAAATTAAGCAATCGATAAAGGATTACGCGTCATCGTATCAAGCTTTCCGAGGTAGTAACAAGAAAATGCGAAGAATAAGAGCATAATCGACTTACCGACCGAAGTGGCTCCGACGAATCTTCGAAGAAGGCAGAGACAGAGAAAAATTCAGTGAATCACGTGTATTCAGGTAAGATCACTCGTTAATTACTAAGTGATATCTTCTGCATTCTGCTTCATCTTTTTCTTCGATCAGATTCTTTGTGTCTTATGTTGGACTCTCGCTGATGATGTTGTTGAAGATGACGACAATTGGTTGATGGTGAATGAGATGATTATGATTGCCGATGAAGTGTCTCGTGTAGCTGGAAGTGTTGTAGAGGTGGTAATTCTTGAAGATGAAATAGGGAATGTGGTGTGATTCTTGGTGAAAATGAGGGTTCAAAAATGGTTATGGAGAGAATTGAAGAAGAGAGAGACAAAAGGTATAGAGAGATGAGAGAGTTCTTGGTGATTTGTATAGAAATGAATGTTGTCGCTGAGAATTGGGAGGGAATTGATTTATATAGACTATAGGTTAGGATATGATTCAGCTTTGGAGTGAGTCTTTGAGCTATGGATCTGTTATTAGGTTTGGGGGTTAGAAACAATTAGAAAATCTGTTAGAAAATGGTTAGGAAAAGTTGTTTCTGAAGGTTAATTAGGAGTTCTGTTAGAGGGGTTAGAGGGAATTCGGTTGGGAGGTTGTTAGAGTTATTTGTAGGTTGTTAGACTTAGTTAGGAATTAGGTTAGTTGTTTTTGAGAATTCTGTTAGGAGGTTAGAAGAGTTAGTTAGAGTTGAATCAATTTGAACCGTTAATGTGAATGTTAGTTAGGGACTTTGATGGACGAGATTGGAAGTGGTAGTTAGTTAGGAATTCGTTAGAGATGTCTATGAGCTTGAAAATTCTGTTATTCTATATCCAACTTACAATTTCATTTCTTATTTCAGTTTCATCTGACTTTTTGATTATTTTATGGAATAGGCCTTGGTGTTGGTAGCATTCGCGAGTTAACTTGATATAGGGTAAGCCTTTGATAGTTTGAAATTAGTTTATCTGGTTTGGTATAGTAGTAATTAGGTGAACCCTTTTTAGGCGCTTAACACATGATCCAAAAGAATATTGCCTCTTTAGTTATTGCAGGTCTGGCAGACTGTTTTGGTTTTGGCTTCTGAACTGTCTTCAAACTCTCGCCACCTCCTGGTATTGATTATTAAGGTTTCTAGAAACCTTATCTGATCTAAAATTTGGGTATGCTGCTCGACTGCGATAAATACTCAGATACAAACATTAGCGGCATGGATGACTTGTCTTCTAATAGCAGTAAAGGAGTGTCAAACTCAGCAACTCGACCATTACTGAGTACCAGAACTTGATTGTTGTCAATAGCAGTAGGGATACGATGTGCAATGGTGAGCATAATGCAGGCTTTGAACTTTGTTCGAATAATCTTCTGGATAAGATTATCAGTGGTGGTGTTGACAGATGTTATCACTTCATCAAGTACAAGTATTTCTAACTGCTTCAATAGAACTCAACCAAGAGAAACAAGTTATTGTCGTCCTACACCCTAATTATCTCCATTTCCTATAACCTGTGTATCAAGCTTTTATCCTTTCTTGCTGATGATATTTCCTTATTTGCATTTTCAAAGTCTTTCCTCAAATATTGAATGAACGAGATATAGTAATCCTTATTAATTGAATCTTGAATGTAGCATCTCGTGATGCAATTGTATTTTGATGTCCATTGTGAAGCGTGGAATGTAACTTTTGAAAGTATAAATGATAATTGAAGTAAATCTTTTTCAAGGACAAGTATTATAATTTCCAAAGAAATCTGCACCACATTCTCTAAATGCTGCCCATGTATTTAACTACCGCGTTCAGCAATGATGGAATTCACCTCTGGCTGAAGAATACTCATGATGTTCCGGAAGACACTCTTTCCACTTATGAAATCCTTCAGCAACTCTAAAGCAGGAAGTTGTCTCTGAAGTGATGATTCTTTTGTTGTTGAAATACGAGACTAGTCAACTACACCCTCATAGCCTTCTTCCTTAACATCATACATAACTAATATCATGTGAAAATGTTTAAGGAAGGCACAAACTAACTGCCATTTTTTGCATGGATCTGCATACGCTCTTTGAGGATATGGCCCAAAAACATGATCATAGACGAACCTGAAGATACCAATAAATCTCCGCCCTCTATCAGTCAAATCTATTTCTTCCACAATAAGAGCATTTATCAAATTAAGGAAAGATATAGTTGAAGGATATTGCTCTCTTCTTGCTTCAATTTCATTTAATTCAAACTGCATATCATAAACCTGAGTACCCATGGATGGACCACTCTGAGCTTCAGGCCCAACAACTACTGGCAGATCATATTCCTCAAGAAAGGTCCAAATTCTATCCTTCAACTCTGGAGAGACGTGAATAAATGTGGATATTGCATTCCTTAGAGCACCCTTAAGATAAGGAGCTACATTTTCATAACTAAGGAGTTTAAACAGTGGTTCAATTTCAGGAAACCACTTTTTCTTTCGATAGGGTTCCCATTTTCCACAACCTTCTTTAGAACATTTAAATATGCCACAAGAGCTTTCGCATCCCCCTCTTGATTTTTTTTTTGAATACTGAATATCAACCTTCTTCAATTTGCATTTCATGTGAATTCTCCAATATTTCTTCAATCTTTCTATAATTGAATGAATCACTAGATGAAGGCCTCAAAAAGATTTAAGAGGGACTTTGTCAAAAGTCAACCTTCCATTGTTGATTTTGACCAAAAATCAAAGTTTTGGCCAATCTTTCAAACTTGAGATGATTCAGTAATAACACCATATGAACTCATATTCACTCTTTGCACGAAATCCACAATACAAATCTTGTAGCTCGATTAAAGGTGAACCAAACCTCAATTAATGATACAAAGTATGAATGAAATCCTAATAAGATGAACCAGCATGATGGTAATAGTCAGCCTATAAGACCCTAAAATCCACTCGACCAATGAACAATATCCATTGGATGATGAGATTCATTGATGAACCCAAACTTTATAAGGATATCTTTAGACTACCACATGATTAGAGAAATAAGCCCTAATTCCATGATCTTTGAGTATTTAAGCCTTGAGTTGGAGCCAGACCCTTCCTTGAGGAAATTCCTCGACTCAGATGAAACCGGAAGCATAGCAAGATTTCCATATGATAGAAACCCTAATTTCTCGAATTGACAAAACTGGGTGGAGATTGGCCTTATGGATTCGTGAAGAAGAGATTCTTAATGACCACAAACCACAACTCTAATTCCACTGCTCATGGTTTGAAGAAGAAATAAGCCTTTGTTGGATACAAACACCTTGACCAGTGTAAAACCCTTATATTTCACAATCATTGAACTTTGAACCAAAGAGCTATATTGAATGAAATGTATGCCATGTTAGTGACCTAAAATGCGAATGCGAATGAGCGTAAAAGTCTAAGCCAGAAGAAATTAGGAGGGCAAATTTTAGGGTGCAACAGCTGCCCCTATTTAATCGCCTTCAACCTGAAGGTGAGATTGGCGCTAGCCTTTCGAACATTCAAGGTGGAAGAAGATTAAATACTAAAAGAACCCGGAAATTTGCGCTCCGAAGCCAGTCAGATATCATTATATTTTTTTGTTTTTCTGTATTTTCTATTTTTTTTTAATTTTTTGGATTACGGTGGTTAGCTGAGAAAATCTCTTGGATGTCAGGTCAAGGTTTGACATACACAAGAAAGAGACCGACCGAAGAAGGCTCTGATGAAGGAACACTAATCGAAGGCGAACTTACTGAGAAAAGAGACCAAACGAATGGGACTCCTGACAAATGATACCATTCGAAGGTGGATTTATGGGTAAAGAAACCAGCCAAAGGGGAATCTTTAACAATGAAAAGAGACCAGCCGAAGGGGACTCTTAACAAAAGGTACTAGCCGAAGGTGGATTTAAAGGATGGCAGCCGAAGGTGGACTTCACGATAAAGTAACCAGCTGAAGGGGAATCTTCTTCAGGGAATACTATGCCGAAGGTAGATTCCTAAGAAAGAAAGAAAAAACTCCAATCAAAGGTGAACTTACAACTAAAAAGAGACCATCCGAAGGGGACTCTCAACAAATGATACCAGCCGAAGGTGGATTTTAAGGGTAAAGGAACCATCCGAAGAGGAATCTTTAACAATGAAAAGAGACCAGCCGAAGGGGACTCTTAACAAAAGGTACCAGCCGAAGGTGGATTTAAAGGATGGCAGCCGAAGGTGGACTTCACGATAAAGTAACCAGCTGAAGGGGAATCTTCATCAGGGAATACTATGCCGAAGGTAGATTCCTAAGAAAGAAAGAAAACGCCAATCAACGGTGAACTTACAACTGAATAGAGACCAATCGAAGGGGACTCTCAACAAATGATATCAGCCGAAGGTGGATTTTAAGGGTAAAGGAACCAGCCGAAGGGGAATCTTTAACAATGAAAAGAGACCAACTGAAGGGGACTCTTAACAAAAGGTACCAGCCGAAGGTGGATTTAAAGGATGCCAGCCGAAGGTGGACTTCAGGATAAAGAAACCAGCCGAAGGGGAATCTTCATCAGGGAATACTATGTCGAAGGTAGATTCCTAAGAAAAGAACGTCGATCAATGGCGAACTTGAAAGGGATAAAGATATGCCTATCCGGTCAGAGTTAGACCACAAGAGCGAAATTGAGCATAAAGAAATAAATGTTTGGAGTTGATAGTGAACAGAAGCACGAGACTAACCGAAGAAAGCCCCAACAAGAAAGGACGCATTCGCCTAAACAAGGACGCCAGACAACTGGACTTTGAAGAGACACTGAAGGACTCTTAACATAAAAGGTTAGCTAAGCTAACGAAAGAAGGACCCGACTAATGCGGATAAATCAAAACAAGGGACCGACTAAGCAGGACCTTCAAAGAGCACCGATCAAATGTGAACTCTATAAGAGAAAGAGACTTGTCAAAGCAGACTCTAACAAGGATTACCAAAACATGTTGGGCTTTCGATAGGTTGCAAATACGCAAGAACTACAAAATCTCTCAGGCCAAAGGTGGGGGTGTAATTCTTCAAGAGTGGCAATCATCTGAATTACCACACACCTAGTATGGATACTCAAACACTTGAGAAGCAAGAAAGGTTATACACCAACTCTTACCCATACTCTAACAAAAAAGCAAACACAGGTAAAATAACCAAAGGCTTGCAGGGGCAAGTGTAAACCACAAACTTACTGGGGAAATGGAGAAATACCAAAGACCCGACTGGTGGTGAATCAAAACAAACTCCGCTGGGGAAACATAATAGAAACACCCTAGGCTTATTGTGGAGATAAATCAAATCTGAGCGTATAACAATCTGGTTACCACAGGTGGACATAATTGGCTTATACTCATGCATGTTTAAATTTTTTAGCATAATGCTCCATACAATGGAAATGCTACGCGTTTTGGTAGATGCAATGTAATGATGCATGTTTAGTAATGTACTGGGGAAATCACATCAACATTCGGCTGATGAGAAGACCTTGAACTTCCGAACAATCATTCTTGCACATCTGATCTTCTGTAGAGAAAAGGAAATCTGGACTTCAACAGGGAACCGAGATTCGGAACCACAAACCTCTAAAGATCGATATCACTGAAGAAATAACTTCCCGGGGAGTAATGCTACAAATATAAATTGCAGTTTCAGAGAAAATCTCGAATTCTGATCAAACCCTTAACTTCTTGGGGAGCAAATTCTTTATCCTCTAGTTAGAAGGAGGAGAGCTTCGTTGGGTATGGAAACTTTCTCGCATAGATTTTCTTGACGAAGATAGCTTCTACTGGGGAGTATGGAAATTTTTAAATAAAAAGAATTCTACTCATATCACACTGGGGATAACATCGCCGAAGGGTAAAAAATATTCACTTGGGGGAGAAGCAAATATCTTGGGATAAAAACTCCACTGGTGATATCTTATCAAAATCTTCTATCACCAGGGTGAAATAGTTATGACTGGCATTCCCATATACACCACATTGGGGGACAAGACACTTGCTCTACTAAGGAAAGAAAGCTAGCTCCACTGGGGAATAATAGATACTTTACTTCGATAGGTTCTCGAAATTTGACTTCGACTGGGGACAATAACCTTGACTTAAGACAAAGGATATCAGTAAATAGACTTGAGTCTATGATAAGTCGAAGATAACAATCCTGACTTCTCGGCATGATTTTCAAATTCATAGGTCATTTAGCCTGCGTATGGACGTGATCTGATCAACCACTGAAGAAGAGAGAAAGCCGTTACATAAATTCTTTCCCTAGTGTTATGAACTTTGGAACATGATGCCTAGATAACCAAAATTAGAGATGATTCCACCTATGCTTGAGTGAATGCCCATACATCTCCAAATTCTGGAAAGATTCTCCTCTGATCAATGCATTCTCAGAGAGATTTCTCAAATATTAGCATGACTGCTCCAGTTTGACTGCACTTTGAGGGATAAAATCCCGACTTGAATGCCTCAGATTGGTTGAATACCTACTCAACGGAGTATTCGACATGCTTTCCCTTGCTCAACAGAATCTCGAAAAATCTTTTCTTTGTCTCATGCTCACGGAGGGATGAGAAACTTGAGGATTTTCGAAGGCAACATAACCTTAGAGAAGTTGGCTTATGTCTTGAAAGTAGGTTAGCTGACCACCATACTTCTCGACTTGAACTGCTTCATTCTCAGGCAAATACTTGAAGTAATATGTCCCTTGGGACCAACTGAAAGTAATGCACCACTGCTTGACAGAGACTCTGGGCAACCAACTTTTTCAATCTACTTTAGATCATTTCTTAAATTGGTATTCTTTTACTCAACAGAGTCAATAGAAGATTTGCCCCAGGT